AGCACTAGGTTTAATCCAGGTCTTAGAAAACTGTCCAAAAAGACAAAATCCACATAAAACTGGACACAAAGTTGAGCCTCATCTATCAAAAACATGAACATTTTATTGGAAAATGAATAAAAATACTTAATAAGAAAATTTATCTAAAGTTTTCAGAATAGGTGTCATTTCCACTTCAGATCTGTGAACGATGAGATTTATTTATAACGCCATATTTAACTCATATTTACAGCCAACCCTCCAACGCTGATATTTGACCAACCACTTTAAGAAAGAAAATCAGAGACTGCTAATCATACCAGAGGAGCAGCTCCAGCTGACTGTACAGGAATCGAACCAGCGCCCGTCGACTCACGACTTCAGCGTGGCAGTCGGTGAGCGTACAGCCACAGTCGCTCACACCACCCAAGTCCAAGCACTTCGTCCCTGTGGCCAGAGACACAACCTGTGCTGATCGAAGATCGAGTCCTGGAGGGAGAGAAATGAAGCATGTGGGAATTGACAGGCAGGATGATTGTGATTGGCTCTAATGGAACGAGACTGCTGGCATGCTGCCGCTGAAACGGGCCATCTTATTTCACTCAGGGAACAGGAAAACGAGGCATTTCCCCTTTTCCTCCCCTCCGCCTCAGTGTCGGGTCATAACCGGAGCGTTAACAGGCTGAGACGGGCTAATGAAAAGTGTATGACTGAACAATCACTCCGTCGTCTCCAAGAGGGGCTGTTGTGCTTCTATCCGACCTCATCAAACATTCACAGGGCTGTCTCGCCTCTGATCCGGGGCGACTCTTTGATTGCTTTAAATGATGAGCCCAGACAAGTGGCAAAACATCCTGTTAGAAGATCGGACGCTGCTGCGTCTGCGTCCAATTTCAGATGACAAAAAGCCGAGCGAACGATGACATGAAGCGAGCCAGAGAACAGAACCAGGACTGACTGATAACTGTGTCACTATGATGCAGGATTTGTGTGAAATAAAGAGCAATATTTCAAACTCGCTGGGTGTTCGTCATGTCAGATCACAGCTCCTAAGGTCATAGATGACAATCCCACCCTGTCTCAGATATTTGCATCAGACTGTCGCTGATCAGCATCAACAGCATCAGCAAAGCAACATAACCTACACCCCTCTCACTTAATTCTACACCACTTTGTATGAAGTCCATCACAGAATTATAATCTAATAAACAGAAATAAAATGTTTACAAGGATAAAGGTGAAATGGCATCAGACAGGGCATAAAAGCAAGTGGAAGACAGGTAAAATAAAACCAGATATTATAATAATTAAC